CCCAGATTTTCCAAGACCCCCCCCCCCCCACAAATTTTGTTTCTCAAAAAACAATTATTCCAATCTAAATCCAAGCAATTTTATCGGGCACATTTGTCCAAAATGGGCTCAGTCCTTTGTGCAGCTTTGATATTGACACGCAGAGGTCAAGTTTAAAACCTGATATCCTCAATAGATCCAGCTCAATAATCTGATACCTAGTCTATATGGATCTGCTCAGTCTTCAAACAATCTCACTTCCCTGTGGAGCCATAGTCAGCCCAAGCTGCAACATGATTATCACCCACAATAACACCTACTTCATCATCTACCTAATGAATGTCTAGCACGGAGGCATCAGGTACCATTTTTTATAAAAGTCTATGGTTTAACCAGGCTGTAGGAAAGAACCCAGCACCTCCTGTACCAGAGATTAGCACTACTAGTAGTACCAATATATAATGTTCAGTAAGACACTTTTTTTAATCAGATATTCACGTGGCAGGGTATATATATATATATATATATATATATATATATATATATATATATATATATATATATATATATATATATGTGATAGACTCAACATTAAATTTCACTATCAAAGAAATATATCAAAACTACTGCCTTTTTTTTGTCTTCCTTAGCTTCAAACATAATAAACCCACTGAAGATTTACCTGGTGTTCATAAATGGGAATTTATCTACATCCTTTCTTCCTGGTGCACCATTTACCAATCTTTTACCAATTTACTCTTGTTCCATCTCTGCAAAAATTAATGCTCAAAATCAAATCACTGGTAATACAACTTACGATCACAGCAACACTTTACCTGAAGACAAAGTAGTGAAACTCGGCTGAAAAAAAAAAGGCATGCACTGAACTATCCAACAAATATCACTTCCCTTTAAAGTAATAAAATAAATAAATAAAAGTGTTTTGTGCACATTGTGGTGATGCAAATAAAGTAATTAAAATTGATCTTAAAGACATGCCATAATGGATGGTGAAGTATTATGCTACACCGACAGAAACAACCAACTTTTAACCATCTTTTCTTGTAACTGCCAGGAAAGGGCCATTTTTTTACCCTGATATTTGGACATAGAATACCTACCAGATATTTTCAACCCTTGGTTTGTTCAGTGGAATTTAGGTCTGGATCTATCATCACCTCCTTGTCTGTCCTGCATTGGTCCTTAGTATTTCTTATTAAGTGATCCATCCCATCTCCTTAACATCTTTTTTACTTAATCACTACCTCATGATTCGATATACAAAAAGCAAAAAGAAAAACTACAAGATTTTTACCCCCACTTTCTTTTTTTTTTTCTCTGTAATAATTTCTTGTGACAATTTATTATATCACATAATTGCAATTTCCTCTTAATCTCCGTAAGAGAATAAAAAATATTACAAGATTCTACGCAGTTCTGAAAATAGGACCGTCTTGCAGTGGATCATTATCCAAATGTTTTAAACTTATTTTGGGATTCAAAATATCTACATGTACATATTCCAAATCAACATTTCATGCAGGTAAAAAATCTTGTAGTTACATGCCTAGCCCAGTCATCAATTATATCAGGATTCATCTTACCCACTAAAGGTATATTTAAATGTCAGGGGTTGAAGACACGCCTATAAGGGACAGCATTAAGTGACCATACCCTTTTTACGTTTTCTTCTAAAATCCACTTCTTTCCAAGCACAGGCACCCGAAGCACATTATCATCAACATCTTCTAATTTCATAATTTAATTTCAAGATCTTCCTTTCTTAATTTTCTCTCCAATTTTTCTTTTTTCTTATTCTTTTCCTCCATTTTCCAAATTCACTTCTTCCATCCCTCTTCAACCCTTCATTTTTCTTATTTCTTTTTTCTTTCTTCATGTTTCTTTCTTCAAATACTTCAAATTCTTTTCTTCAATACCTTTATAATGTACAAAAAGAAATACAATTAGTTAACCAGTTTACATAGAACACATTTATTGGTCTTCAAATAATCTTATACAAACTATCAGTAAATCCTTATACTTTTTTGTTATAATGATCTGAAAACAATCCCAAGATATTATATGGAAATCATCATCAGGGCTCACAAGTCAATACAAAATTCACAAAAATGTCCAATAATCTTAATAACTGAATTAGAATTTTCTCATCCAGACATAATTTAGAAAAGCAAAAATGTTGAAATCAGAAATGTCTTGATAACTGAATCAGAATTTAATTTCACTCATGTTTTTTGTTGTTCAGAATCATTCTAACCCATCTGACTTAAAAAAAACAAAAAAACATAACTTTGCTTATCTTGTCTCCAGAACTACATTAACACTTCTTAAAAATACCTCAAAATAAAAACAAAAAGGAAAAGTCTAAATAATGTAAGCTATCTTTCCTAACCTCTAATTTCAATAAAAACAAAATATACATCTCGGCATTTATCATACTATACACATCAAAGTTCAAAGAATATATACTGAATAAAAAAAGGATGGGATACACCTATGAGGTTGTCTGTAGAGATGTTTCAGTGCTTCAAAAACCATCTCCATGCTCAACTGTCAAGTATGTTTATGTGTGTGTGAAAGTAAATATACATATATAGTTTAAGAAAATTTTACAGCATCCCCCCAGTGATTAAAAAAAATTTATTTTTTTTTGCAATGTGCAAATTATTTAACTTTCTACACACATCCTGCTTTCAAAATGGACATATGACACAAAATATGATTATGAGGGGGAAAAGAGTCGATCATGTTGCTGCAAAGGCCATAATCGATGTTTTTCTACTAAGTATTCAGATCAAGTAAAATCAGGGAGGGATACTGTAAAAAAATATTTTTTGCAAACAAACATTAAATGTTTTTAACATTGCAAAGTTTCCAGTCAAAACCTTAGAAATATGCTTAACTAGTTCTAACTTGCAGGAAAACCATTTCACTACAACAATTTTTGTCCATCTAATATGTCACCCCGAACACTTAATGTCCATGCTTATCTAATGTTTGTATCAGTCTTTCTCATGTTACATATAATACTCTTTTAATTGGCAAAAGTATGCTTATAAAAAGGTCTCCACATAAGCTCAGTAGTGTCCTAGGGAAAAAAAGAAGGAAAAACAATGGGGAATTACCATCTAGACCTGACCAGTACTATGGTAGAAGTAACAAGGAATAGAATTTTTTTTTTTCATTTCCAAACCACAAAGGGACTTCTTTCATAGCAATACAATTTATCTTTAATAATTTGAATAAAATTTCTGAAATCTTGAAATTTGAACTTTTAATATTTGGTACAGCTTTTTTTTTTTCCTTTTACTTTATTTCAAGCGAACTACTTACTAATTCATCTTTAACAAATATGTCTCAAAGATTCGAGAAACATTTCCATTATGTTTCCAGATATAATTACTGCTTTGACTACATTATCATACACAAAATTAGTGATACTCACTTGGAGAGTATGACCTTGATCTTGACCTTGACCTGGAGTAGCGGCTTGGTCTGCGGCTGTAATATGGAGAGGGTGATCTGCGGCGGTCATAGCCATATCCCCGGCGGTCATAGCCACCTCCATACCCACCACTGGAAATATACACAGGACCTCACTGTATTAACAACAATGATTCACTCTCATAGCATCTAGAATACTACATCTAATAATATCTAACTTGATACATGCTACTTGAATGCTACTTGAGAGAATAACCTTTCAATCTTTTTTTCTATGAAATTAAAATAATATACATAATCAAATCTCCCTCCACAAAATGCTTTGCATTGGGCAGAGAAAAAAATTAAAAAAAAAAAAAAAATGCAAACAAAAGAAGTACATAACACAACGAGAAAACCTGCACTCTATCAAAGGTGGCAAAGACAAAAGAAAACTGATTTTTCAATGTGAAAGAACATGATTACATGACCAAATACCTGCTGATTAACTTTTCATTTTTACTTATTAACATTCCAATATCATTTTTTAAAGATGTTATTATCATTTTTAGCCACCAACCTCCTCCTATCCCTGTCACCCTTCCTGAAATGATAAAAGATTAATTATTGAAACACATGGTTTTCTCAAAATTGAAGAAAAATTCATCTTCTCTTCATTCTTTACAATACAGTTATCCTTCGTCACACTGCCCTTACTGCTTGATCTCTGATTTTGGTCACAAAGGGCAGTCAAAGAGACAAAACAAGGGGTACAGATAATTTATGACCCGGCCTCACTCAGTGTGTAATTTACAAGCAAAAACAAACATCTTCAACAAATCTCATTATCTTTGTCAGATAATTATTTTGATTGTAACTGTAAGTAGAAATCACCTCTGTCATTAGACCCCCTACCCAAAATATAAGTAAATAAATTTAATGAAAAAATAAAAATAATAAACAAATAAATAAAACTGGTCACAGGCTACCAAGAGAATAACTTACCTAGTGGGCTTCCCCAGATAGATGCCAGGTGTGGGTGTATGTGCTCTTTCTGTGATGGAGTAATCTACACGGATTCTGCGCCCGTCAATCTCTGTGCCATTACACGTCTCTTTGGCCTGCAACAAGATAAATGACATGATAGAGCGCAATTAGAGATGTTTTACAGGTTTCTGTAGAGATCATATGTATATCAAATATTAAAATTTTATTTTAAACACAAATAATTATTTTAGTTCATTGTTTTTACAAGAAGTACCTAAAATGTATTAATAATGCAATGGCACTCAGAAACCACTATGACACACTGTGACTTTCCCTTATTTTAGCCATTTTACCAGTATTTCACTACTGAAAAAATCATTAAAAGAATACAAATCAATACACGTCATTGGCTTTAACCGAAGGAAACTTAGAAAACATTTTGTGGAAATTTTAAATGCTTGCTTGTATTTAGACTTCACTACTGTTCACCCACCTCCCTGGCATCTTCCATGTGCTTGAAGTAGACAAAACAGAACCCCCGGGACCTGCCAGTCTAAAGGAAAAAAGTATCCACGTCACATCATGACAAAAACAACAACAAGAATAAATATGTGAATAAACCATGTGAATGAAACAAAACCAAGGTTTCAAAAATCAAAATAACAATTTAGTTAATTTTAGGACGATCATGTAACTTGAAAGCATCATTTCAGCTGTACAAAATCACAGTAAGTTTTAAACTAGACAATGGCTTTATTTCTATACTTCCCTACAGAGGGTAATACACACACTACAGAGCTTGACGTGCCCCACGGATTCAGATACGTGTACTACAGAGTGAGATCCATGCATGCCTCATATCATACCTGTCTGTCATGTACCACGTTGACTTCTGTCAGGGGTCCAATCTTCTCAAACACTGCCCTGATGTCCCTCTCCTGTGTGTACAGACTGAGACCAAACACACCTAAACAGTTACTGTTCTCTGGGTTTTCCTGAAATAAACAAATAGAATATTAAAAACTAGCACTCTTTTAAAAGAAAAAAATTCAAATCAAGAGTGAAAAGTTTTCTTACCAATTTCACAACTAACCATATTAAAGTACTGCTACTATCATTTACCAGTACTGCCTCTGAACATCACCTCTAATTCCAATACAGTTTTTTAACTCCCAGTCCTGTAACGAATGTTTTAAAAATGCCAAATTTAATCCAAACAAGTAAAGCAAGAAACTTATTACCTAATTTGTTTTGACAGAAGCTTTCTCAAATTCCTGAACTTTCAATTGCCCCATTCTTACAAGGGGGGAGGGGGGGGGCACACCACATCATTTCAAAAACTTTCCTTTATGCTGTGACACAGCAGCTAGATAAAACTTTCACTCACCCTGTTCCCAACATGCCTCTTCCTGGAGGACATAGGAGAGCGACTGTGACTTCTGTACCTTCTCCTGTCTCCGGAGCCTCTTCTGTATGGACTTGGTGAGCGACTGGAAACAGATCACAAACAGATAAAGCAAACTTCCTTCTAATTACTATTCTTTTTCTTTAAAAGGATTGTTTTGCTGGATTCGTTTTATTTTGATTTTTTGTAAAAAATTCTTTATACTCTCCTCTCCCTCATTTGAACATTATCAGGAAAATCAATTTAAGATACAGTCAGAAAATTGATTTCATATCAATAATGCACTTTTTTGGCATTTTTTCATTTTCTCTTTCTTAATCTAATCATCATTCTAAACTGACCTTCTGCTTCTTGACCTAAAAAATAAAAACAAGGAAAACTCAATCAACAATTTAAATCAAAGTGTGTGTTTTATCTTTTTTTTCAATGATATATGTAAACGACATACCATTTTTCTATGTCAGAAAAAAAAATATTGCATCTGAAACCAAAGTTTACATCCAACACTGCATAAAGGCAAATTATGTCCTTTTTCTTGGCTTAGTTTTTTGTAAAACAAGTACCCGTAGGAGTGGTAAGCAAAATAATATTTTACATAAAATCTATAATATATACAATGACACCTCACCTCTTGTATGATTTCTTGTAATATGGACTCCTTGTTCTGGAGCGTGAGCGTGAGTAGTGACGACGAGGATAGCTGGGAGACCTGGAAAAGAATTCCACCCATTAAAATATTGTTTCAATTTATGGCTTACAGTAGTGCATAATTAGTTTTGATCAAACAGCTTAAACAGTCCCTACAGTAGTATTAAATTGGTCATAAGTCAAACCATAACTTCATATTCTTGTTAAGAGAATTTCGTTTACTTGATACAAAAAAAAAAAAAAAAAAAAAAAAAGAGCTCATATAAATAAAACACAAAATAAAATCAAACTGCATAATTTATTATTTTGTTATTACTAAATATTTACCACAATTATTCCTAACAAACAAGATCAATGATGATAACAAGTGTTGTAGAGCAGTCCAGATAAACCTTACCTAGATCTGGACCTTGAATATGACTTGCTCCTGGTGCGGCGGGCTCGAGGGCTGGGGGAATCATGAGAGGGGGATCTGGCAGGCGACTTAGGTGTCCTTGACCTTGTCCTGGATCTGGTGAACGACCTGGACTTGGACCTTGATTTTGATCGCTGAAATGAAGATTTTACAGTGAGAAGAACTTTGTGCTCTGGAATAACACCTTGAAAAATGTTGATTTTTAATGTGAGGAGAAGTTTATAATATTTGGAGCATGAAAATTGACATCTTACAGTTCAAATGTTCTCTGGACCTTTCAGTTTCAAATAAGAACAAAACAAAGCTCCGTTATGTACCTTTACATATACATATGAGATGAATGTCCTAAACTTATGTAATTTAGAACGCTTAATTCAAGCGTGGGCTCGAAATAGGACATTACGTTTTAGACTTACTCAGTGGATAACGCAATTCAAAATTCCACTGTTCGTGTCAGATTTACGTGAGGTCGCGCAAAGAAAACCCAAGTCCACATAATGACCAGTTTAATGGTTTATTGGTTGACGATCTCTAACTACATTCGTTTTCTTCCCTTGTTTTTCATTTCTGTCTTTATCCTTGTAATAAGCAGGTATATTCAAATTCACCCTTTCATTGTCCCTTTCCTCAGTACGCAGATTATTCTCTTCCTTCACTTGTTCGTCATTTTCTTCATTGTCCTCATGGTAACACACATTTTCAAACAGCTTGGCCTTATCATTGTCCGTTTCTCCAACATGCAGTTTTTCCTTTTCCATTACTTGTTCATCATTTCCCTCATTGTCCTCATAGTATCTCTTTTGCTCAATCTTTTCCTTCGCTTGTTCGTCATTTTCTTCATTGTCTTCCTGGTAACACTCATTTTCGATCAGTTTGGTCTTATTGGTGGCCATTTCTTCAACACGCAGCATTTCGACATCAGGGGTTTTCATCATCTTCTCACAGGGAAACTTCATCTTATCATCAGTAGACTTCAACAGTTCAGCATCACTCGGCGACAACCTCTCTTCACCAGGGAACAGCAACATTTCTGCATCAGAGGAATTTAATACATCAGAATCACCACTGGTCATAAAGGGTTTCAAAATCTCATATTCGGGAGATTTTGCTTCGTCAGCAACGTCACTGACCACATTATTGTTGCCTCCATCGGGGAGCTGCAACATCTCGGCACCAGGGAATTCATCTTTTGGAGATTTGTTAGCAACACCGCTGATCACAATCTCATTGCTCTGGATCACCTCTCTAACTTCTTTATGTGTTACGGTTTCTTCATCACAGCTGTCATCATCATCCATTTTGCTTTCCTGCCCCATTTCCATCTGAATGCTGTTTATCATTGCTTCGAAAGATAGTTTGTTTCCGTTGGCATACTCTGTTGTTTCTTCTTTCATTACTTCCCACAAATTTGCGAGGGAGTTTGACAATAAAAATACATCTTCTTTGCTTGTTTCCTGCGTCTTCAGAACACTACTGATTCCACCCAGACAATCTAACAGCCTGCTGTAGATGTCTGGGTCTTCATACTGGTCCTCGTCTTCATATAGCATCTTGACTATAAACTGCCTTTCTGTCTCAGCTGCTTAAGGTGAAACCTGGGAGCTCGCCATTTGTAATAACCAGTCGGTGGTTATACATTTGTTCTAAGAGTTACATTTTCACCAATAAGACAACTGAGACAGGCAGGAGTAGTTTTCATTATTTTCCAGTAAAAGAACCATCTTTGTGAGGAAAACTAACTCCAAATTCCTGTGTGCTTTCAGCGATCAAGAAAGGAAAGTCATTTCTACTCTCGGAGTCACGGTTTCAGTTTTACTTTTAAATGCTAATGTGAAAGCTAAATCATTTGCTGGTATTTCTCAAATATCTAGAAAAACACTGCTGACATGGTTCTCTCGGTTATCGTTCGTGATTTACAAGGTTTTTCTCTCCCCCCCCCCCCCCCCTCTTTCACTTTGTAAGAAACATGGCGAAGAAAAAATCAGAACAAAGCAAAGGACAAAGAGAAGATCAAGCAACAATTCGTCAAAGTAACTTTTTCAAGTAACATTAATGGCTTACCTCTTGGTCACTCATGATTATGCAGCGGAATGATAAAGACTGTTACTTTCGGAAAAAACGATTAAAACTATCGAACTTCAGTGCAGGTGACCGCAAAATGGCGCGTCTGTAAAACGTTGCATGCTGGAATTTTTTTTATTCTTATCATTTTTAATAAAAATGATATCGTCTTTGCAACATCCTAAATATCCTGCTTGCTATTTTCATGAAAATATATGATTATTCTTACAGAAATTATTTGAACATTTCTAAAATATGCAGTTAACGCGTGATCTCGCTTAATCGGGATATCCATATCGATGATAATGGATAGTTGATGTCCATCGATATTACAAGTCGAGGGACTGTCCAAGCTACAGTCATGGAGACGCAGATAGAATGGCAAGTACTCCTGTTTTCAACTTAACTGAACTCGGTGGTGCTCTTCTTATTTGTTCCACGACAAAGACATAATTGGCTGTCATGGTTTGGACATTGAATCTGTTCTATGATAATTATATCACGTTATACATACTTAACAGTGTGAGGAAAGTGATGAGTCTGAAATTAAGATATGATTTATTTTAAAGATTTTTTTCAGACGCATTAAAACCAGGATAATTCATTTTATGTTTATGATATCAAACAGGGACCCACCCTTACGAAATGGTCAGGGCTGCTTTTTTTCTGAAGCAATCTTCTGTGAAATGTGGCCGGCGAGTTTTCCAGACCAGCTGAGGCTAAAGCAGGCAGAAATAGAGGCAGAGAGCACCAGATCACGCTGCGATTCCAAGTTGGAAAAGGTTGAGCAGGGGCCCACACAACCCAAGGTAAAATTGAATATTTTCTTGCATTTTTAGTAATAAAATAAAGGCATGTCGGTGTATTTTTCAATTTTGTGATGATGGAAAGTATTAAGATTGATATTCATTAATAGATTTATTTTATTATAATTTTTTGACTGGGTGCCTATCAGGTAATATAATTGGATAATAAACATATTGTTCTCGTTTGTATCCTGGCAGGTGTCAAGGGGTGAGACTCAGCCAGCCCAAGGTGAACATTTACCAATCAGGTAATATAATTGGATAATAAACATATTGTTCTCGTTTGTATCCTGGCAGGTGTCAAGGGGTGAGACTCAGCCAGCCCAAGGTGAACATTTACCAAAGCATGAAGCCAGGCAACACTATGCTAGCTTCCACACTGATCTTGATGATGAAAAGTCCACATCACCAGAGAAGAATAAGAACAAAAAAGATGTGGCTAGATTGAAGAAGGGAGTTATGTTTCTTCGTAAGAGAGTGCCCTACCCGAGGAAGTCTTCTCTCAGCAGAGCTCAACAGAAGAAATATTTAGAACTGTACAATAAGTTTTTGAATCATTTGCCAGCTCAGCCTTCTAAACAAGAACTCAAGGATATTAATATGTTCAAGGTAAAACTGCCAACCAGTTCATGGACATTATTTCATGATCTTTGGTTGTGTTAGCTATTTAAGATTTATATATTAATAATTAATTAGTATGAGTCTGGAGTGTCTTATTTTGTTCGGAAATAAAATTGCAAAGTTGTCAAGAGTTTTCCATATTAGATACTGTTCCTAATGTCATGTTTTACAAAAGGATTTAAGACTGAAATTCAGTTTAAATTGTAACTATAGTATACTAAATTTTATGTCTACTTTGACCAAAGATAAGTAATCTAATTTATTATTTTTTCAGTGAAGCAACTGACTTGAACCAGTCGATGCTCATCATATATTATCTTCAGTTTTCAGTTAAATATTTTCATCATTTTCCTTTTTTTTTTTTTTCAAGTTTATGTATCAGATCAGAAGAAGACCGACATTTTGGTCCAGACCCTGTCAGTTTGAGTTTTCTGGACATTTTCTGATTTCATCATTGGAATTTTTACCAGACCTTATCATATCTAATTTTCCCTTTTTTTTTTAGGAACTGCAAGTAAAAGTTGGTGCAGAGCAAGAAGAATTCCTAGCATTCCTGGAACAGCTTTCTAAGAAATTTCCAAAGGACTATGCCTGGATCCACCCAGAAGCACGCCAATATGTTGAGGTACAGTTAAGGTTTTCCCCAGAGAACCATCCAGCCATCATTTGGAAGGTCATCACCCTCAAAAGACAGCCTTTATTTCCAAAGACGGCTGGGCGGTTCACAAAATTTTAGATTGTTTGGTTAGACCTGCTTCAGTTTCACTCCCTGTAAAGCAATGACCAAATTATAGATTCACATTTTAGGCTCCCTGTACTCCAAATTCTGGGAAAACCCCTGGGTACAGGCATTAAGTATATCTGGATATTTTATGTATCAAAATAAAGTGAGTATTGTCTTTGATTACCAAATTCATATTTCCATAAAGTTTTTATGTGCCTTGTTTAAACAACCATTTACTTTTTGCATTATTTGTCATTATATATAAAATGAACAAAACTGAATGCATTTTAGAAGGGTGCATTGTAGGCTTGTAGCTTATAATCATTATCTATAATGGTAATACACATGTAGGTTAAGATTATTTTTTCTGAAGGGATGAATAAAAAGTTGATTTTAATAACAGCTTAATTACAGTATTTTGACCGCGATTGAATATCTAGTAAAGTTGTCATTAGACTTGTAAGATAAAGAATGGACAATTCAATAAAGATCCTCTTCAGTAAAACTAATTTAGCCCTCATGTAAATACCGTAAGATGATTTACTTATTATTTTTCTTGAAATTGTATTTTTAGGAAGTTTTGTCTGTGGCAAGAGGAAGACTCCAGTCTTATCCTAAATGGTATATAGGTGTGGGAGAGGTGCAGCTGAAACCACCTGCAGATGGTGTAAAACCTGTTATGAAGCTGTTAGGAACTGTTCTGGATGTGGTAACAGGAGTTCTTGGTTTTGATAATATTTAACTACTCAAGCATGTAATAACACTGATGGGTATAACCCATTACAGTAACTGTTCTGAATTTTTTACTCAGACCAGTAGATTTTTGGAAACTGGAATGGCTGTAATGTTTATGGCACAGACTATTAACTGGTCCATTTAATGTTTGTTATTTTATATATCAGTCTTTTCTGTCAGTTATTTTTCATCTCTACTCCCCCCCCCCCCCCCACACGCACACACTCATACACACGCACACACACTCCAGCTTTTATGATGTTATGTTTTATGACAAGTGCATTTGTAGAGTTTGGTTTGTACTAATTTTTCTAAATCAAACCCTTTTTAGATGTGTTTGTTGATCTCTTAAAGTGATAATGATAAGTTTGTAAACAAAGGTCTGTATTTGATGTGTTGGGGGGAGTGTTATGTAAAACAGAAACACTTACATCTGTTGAATAAGCCTAAATTTCACATGAAATGTTTTTGTGTTAATCTTGTATATACCATGGAAAACCCAGTTATTTCCAGATTTATTTAATTTCACAAATGGTAAGCATTATTATTCAAATTATTCAATATTTGATGTTGACCACTGGCTATTGTAGGGTCCAGTTATGAAGGTCATCCTTCCCAGCATGCATCTGCATGGTTTATCAGTGGTCATCGTACCCACAGATTACGACAAAGTCAGCCAGAGATTTCCCACCAAACAACGGGTTGTCACAGAAAATAAAGTTTGGAATAAGGAGGTAAAATATGAGGTTTCTCCAACAAAAATGAAGAGTTCTGTACTTTTTCATTCATTTATAATATAAATTCCCCTTAGATCATATAAAACGGATTTGCTATTCAAATAACGTTAGTGATTTTTTTTCAGGTATTACAGTCTTTGAAAATATGATTTTGGAAAACAGATTCCATCAATTTTGGCTTCAATTATATAGAGTAACTTTTTTTTTTTAATCTTTGACATTTAACCAATCAGGTTTGCAGTCAAGACAAAAATGCAGAGAGGTTAGCTCAGAAGTATGGAGCAGATGTTGTCCTCTCATCCAGTGTGTTAAAATGTCTAGTGGACAATCAAGCCCCTGGGTACCAGCATCAGTGGGAGCTGCCTGTCACAATACGAGAACACTCTGTTCAAGGTAGTATATTGTAGTACAAATATTGGCTGTAACTGAGGTGGTATTGTTATAATTATTTTCAGTTGGAAATTTCTATTCACTTAAGAACAAACTGAGGAACAAGTTGACTACCAGGGTACAATGTAATTCTGTTGGAAATATAACCAAGAACGCACCTGTGTTAAAAATTGAATATTAGTTCTATTATTAATCACAAAAACATGTTTACTGTTCTGTTTTTGATTTGGGTGATACATAGTATGTAGATTTATACTAAGTTAAAAAGATTTTCTATTCCAGATCCAGTTACTGGAGAAATAAAAAACACAAAAACTGTTTACATAGATAAGCCTTTGGCTCCAAGGTATCTGACGGCTCGAGAAAAAAATGTTCAGTTTTATAAACCTGCATTGAAAACCTTTCTCACTCATCTTCCAACACAAAAACTACAGAAATTGATCAAAGAGCAGCAATTTGTAGAAGGTGCAGAAAAGTCTAATCAGATGAAGGGACACATTTCAAAAAATACCAATCCAACATTGCCTAACAATGAAGAAGAGGATGTTTTTGGATCAACCACTGGCATTGAGGAAGTTGAAACCTTTGGTGTTGGAAGCAGTTTTAAGTCTGCTTTTTCTTGGCCCTTTGGCACAGAAAGTAAAAGGACAAAGAGCAAAGAAAATATTGAACAGAAATTGCTGGAAATGAAGCAGGCAATAAGTTCAGTCACTTCAAGTTTAAAATCAGAAACCGTCACTAACATAGAATCCAGTGAATTTGAAGCATCGACTTTGAGGTTTGCTGAACCAAAACAGCAAAACCAGGCTGAAGTAAATAAACAGATAGCAGGATCAAGTTCTGATGAGGCTCTTTCTAAAGTTGCCCAACCTGCAGCCATAAGTGGCTCAAATATTCCGGCTAGTGCTAAAAACGAAAAACCTAGATTATTGTCACAAAGTGATTCATCTGATGATGACAGTAAACTTGTCATTGATATAGAGGACCAGTCAAGCTTTGAAAAACCTTTCAGACCTCCTTTACAGAATACAAGAAAAATTCAGCCATGTTTGCATCAAAATGAAAACATTTCTGATACAATTGATAATGCAGCTGAAAATTGTCTCCAAGGCCCTCTTTCTCTGTCAGACTCTGCCAGACAAAAAGTTAATAATGATGAGCAGGTGACAGGAGAAGTGACCTCAGTGAGGCAAACTAGGTCAAGGTCAGCTGTTGAAACCTCATTTTCACTAACAGATGGCAGCAGTGATTTCCATCCAACTCCAGCCAAGAGAGGCAGAGGTAGACCAAGGAAGGGTTCCCAGCAGACTTCGTGTAGTGAGGAAAGCATAGGGCCAGGCAGTGAGGCTTGTGAGGATAGAGATGGACAGAAACAAGATGGAGGTACATGTAAACTATCTGGTGTCAGATATTTCAAAAGAGTTTTTATGATTACTTTTAGTATTTTCATTTGTTTGTAGGTATTAATTATGCTTTTTTGTTTGGTTTTATTCTTTTTGTTTCATTGTTTAGTCTGGAATGTTTGTTTGATGTCGAAAGAGGTGCATGTATGAAGAGTGGGATGATTTGGCACTAGTACTATCATAGATTATAACATAGAAGGTCTACAATAATAATAATAATATGAAAATGATCATAGGTGCAGGTACATCAAATTGGTATGTATACTGTAGGTATATAATCTCTACATTAAATGATTTATTTTAATCTTCATTACATTTTACTCTGAAAAGATGGAGATGCAGTTGAATCAGCACTTCCAAAGCGGGTGCTCCGCAGCAACACAAATTCTGTAGCAGCGATTGGACAAGTAGAGACCCCACAGAAAGATGTGAATATAGTCAAGGAAACAGATGAGGTAATATTACATGGTCCATTCGATGGATTTTTTCCTCATTAAATCTCAGAAATAATTCCTGTTAGTTTTGCTTGTGAAAAATGACATATTATCGTGTTTGAATAGTTGTCTACATCTGTTTAGAACTAAGAAACATTTTATGTCATTATCTCTGTGTACTTAATATTGCAGCTTTGTTATCTTTCTAAACAGGTTACACCTGCTGTTAGAAAAAGAGGACGACCAAGAAAAAATCCACTACCTGAAGCTGAGAAACAGACATTAACAGATGTCACCACTGCACCAGCCAAACAGACAAGAGGAGCCAAATTAGAGATTGTAAACCACAAAGATTCCCCAGCAGATGTCACTGTGTCTGAGGCTCCCGGTAACCAAGGTACAAGTACAAGACAGTACATTTGGCATCTTTACAAAGCATAAGCATATAACTGAAGTGCTCTCTGTATTATATAAGTGTGTGCCCAATTTTAGAACACGTACCCCTCTTAGAAGGTCCTAGCTTATGCATCTCTTGGGACTTTAGATTATGTAGACCCTAGTAGCAGACGGCAAGGTGCAACTTTCATCCAGTGTACTTGGGGGAAACAGTACAGTAGGAGAGAAGTGAAGAAAATCAAATGCATTAACTAATAATTTCACTACCTTTCACGAAAACTTCATTTGAGCAGGTATGCTATCATCATGATATTTGCATATAGGATCCTTTGTGTGATTGTTAAATGGGTCCTTGTTTGCTGTGAAAAATCCTCAGAAACCTAACTGATCATACAATAGTGAAGAAAAAACAATTTATCTGCGGGATGGTTTATTCAACATTCATTTTCTGTGACTGTTTGGTTCTGGAATTTCAGACCACCAGAACCAAGCCAGTGAAGGACAACCTGCTGCAAATGAACCAAAAGCAAAGAAACCAAAAGTCAAGAAACCCCAAGGCAGTGGGGTCACTCCTCTTGATTCCATCCTCCAAATGCAGGAGAAGATGCTCCACAAAGGACAAGCCACACCCAGAGTTAGTTTCCCACAGGGGCCACAGAGTCAAACCAGTGGTGTGAGGACTGGTGAGAGGAATGGTAGGGATATGATTTCTATTCAAATTATACTAAAATCGTTTAGCAACCAAGACTTGAAGTGAATGCTAAAGACAAACTTTTTAAATAATTTTAAAATCTGACAGAATGGTTGTACATTTTTCTGTTACAAGTTTTTGATTGATTTGATTTAAGAAATTGTTATCCACATAATGATTGTTCAAAATGTATGATCAGATAAGGAATTCAAGAACAATAAATGAAGCAACACAAGATTGCTTCATAAAGTTTCATATCAAAATGTATGAAAAATAATCACTTAATTGTAATTGAGCTGGTACTTCAAAGTGATATTTTCATATTTCTTTTTTTTCTTCTGGGTCTGAATTTTGTATATTTTCATTTCAATGAGTAGCTAATATTTTTGACAAATCCACTGTTTTTATTAAGTGTTAATTGTAAGTTTTTTTATTTTTCTTCTGTTTTATCCTCTTCTTTTTAGATGTCCCTCAAAATTCAGCACAGCATCAGCAGCTTCCTGCTAAAGAAGATGTGTCAGACTATAACAGACCTCAGACACAGAATTTAGTTTACAGTTTGTGGACATTTGGCAACTTAAAGCTGCTGGTACGAAGCAACATCCATGGTGTTATGAGGGACGAACAGTTAGGGGTATGGTGAAATTGTTTTGAGTAAAGATGGTAACAAAAGTGAGTTGTTTACAAAGAAAGTAAGCATAATTTATGGCGTTAATGTGATTATAGACTGTAATTTTCTCAATAGTTTTGGATAAGAGAATATCTTGGGTTAAAAGGGGCAAATTTTGAAACTTTTTTCCTGTATATAAGTTTTATATATATATATATATATATATATATATATATATATATATATATATATATATGTATATGTATATATGAGTAAATTTGATTGAGATATTATAGTCTTCTGGTATTATTTTAGACTCGTAAAGTTGCAGTAGTCCCAAAAATGGAGTATCAAGCAATGTACGGTGCAGAGCAGACAACGTTTAGCGAGACAGCAAGGATGTGGATGACTTCTTTTCTAAGACAGAATTGTAACATTGTGCGAGGTATTATGATCATCTTAATCTATGAGCGGATTCTCAACGAATTAAGCCAGGCTTTACAAAGCCGGTGACCTAAAAATGGCGGACGTACATGAAAGAAAAACCGCCTAATCTTTTAATAGTCTCTCCGNGGCCTTACAAAGAAAGTAAGCATAATTTATGGCGTTAATGTGATAATAGACTGTAATTTTCTCAATAGTTTTGGATAAGAGAATATCTTGGGTTAAAAGGGGCAAATTTTGAAACTTTTTTCCTGTATATAAGTTTAATATATATATATATATATATATATATATGTATGTATATATGAGTAAATCTGATTGAGATGTTATAGTCTTCTGGTATTATTTTAGACTCGTAAAGTTGCAGTAGTCCCAAAAATGGAGTATCAAGCAATGTACGGTGCAGAGCAGACAACGTTTAGCGAGACAGCAAGGATGTGGATGACTTCTTTTCTAAGACAGAATTGTAACATTGTGCGAGGTATTATGATCATCTTAATCTATGTAATGTTAAGAACTTAGTATAATTGCAATAATATTTAATAAAATCTATGATTAAGGTGAGCAATTTTAAGTTACATCTGTTATTACATTGTACGTGTTTTAACATATTATTAAAATAATTGCTTATTAAATCTTTGGAACTCCAGGACGTACAATAATTTTAATGAAATTATTTCAAAATACAAATGAATAAAACTTGATTTATACACATCTACTAAATAAATCTTTCTATTAATGTTTTGAAGAAATGGAAGGGACAGTTTCCAAAATTTTCTTATTAAGTAAATGCCGTACTTTCATGAAACAGTTCGGAAATTACTAGAAAAATGAGTTTAACAAAAGTTATCAGTTAACATTATCTTTGATTTTGATAGAGGGAGTGGGGTATTTTCAGGTCTGAAATTTGTTGCTTTCTTAGAGAATAGATGTTAAACTTAAGTATATTATAATTAGTAGTGTATAGAGCCTAAAATGTGCACTCATTTCATGTGCTCAATAAATTATTATTATTATTATTATTATTATTATTATTATTATTATTATTAAACTCATCACAGAGCACCACTGATCCCAAAAAGAAGTGGTTTGAGAAGGCCATTTTTTTCTCTATTTTTTAATATGTATTTATATATCGTTATTATTTTTGTTTCCAGCAAGAATCAATGTGTTCACCTCAGAAGTGATGACCCTAGAGGAGCTGGACACGTCTAAAATCCTCTACCCCAGGTGTCCATTCAGGTGGGTCACTTTAATTATAATTATAATATGATAAAGCTGAGCCATATTTTTCTTGTTATGAAACCAACACAGTATTCTCAGTTAAATAGATATAACTGTCTATTTAATTTTAGTCAAAAGTGAACTAAAATTTGGTTTTAAAGACTTTTGGGCTACAATGCTTTTGTGAAACAGGCCTTGTATTTTAAAACAATCTCTGAATTTGCTTGAATTAACAAGACATAGAGCTTTAATATAATAATAATTATTATTTTCAGCCCTGACAATACAATGCCAGTGGTTTACCATGTGTTGGAGAAACTTGCAATGTAGGTCAAAATACTTGTAGTATGCTATATAAGATTTGATAGTGAAATGATTCAGGTGTATCCTAACTGGAAACTTACAAGTCTTTTGACTAGTAGGCTTTCAAGTTATGTGGACAACTTATAAATGTGCTCTAAGTGGTATTCGGACTGTCAGTTTGTTTCTTTGTGTAGTATTTAAATTAATGATTTATTTTTCAGTCCCATTAATTCATTTGTTTATATAAGGTTACCTGAAGGACATTACCTGCTGAGTCATGAAAAGGGAGACAGCAGCTGTCATATCAGGAGAAGCACAGATCCAGATAAGAAGTAAGTGGGAATATTGTATTATCTGGTAATGGGTTAAGGAGTTATTCAAAAGCAGCAAAGTTGAATAACTTGTGTGTAGAGAATTACGTATTCCAGAAGTGAAGAAAGATAAACATAGCACTGGATTTTTGCTGCACTACAGCATTTATTCATGAGTAAAAAAAAGTGAAATCGATGTATACGTGTGTGTGTGTGTGTGTGTGTGTGTGTGTGTGTGTGTGTGTGTGTGTGTACATTTGTGTTTTTAATTATTTGACTGCCATTTTCCTTGGCAGAGGTCTTTGCTCATGGAGTCCTCACTACATGTGTTTCTATCCATATCGTCCAGGGGCAGCTATAATCTTCACAACAGTCACCTGTGTACTGACTTGACCTCTGACCACCACAGAGAAGATAGCCAGTGGATACCAGTTGACCCCAACGTGATGCTGCCTTACTACCATAAGAAGTTTGACCGCATACCAGCGACTTTTGACCCCAAAGGTATGCAGACTTATAGTATAACTAGACTGATTATGTTATAAAGATTTTAATGTCTGTGCCAGTGAAGTAAAGTTTTTTTTTCCTTGTTGTTGATCTGTGGACAAATATCTGTAAAGATTATAATTATTTATTATATGTATTCACAGAATTTGGTAAGTATAGGCCGCTATTCAACGAGGAAAGAAGTCGTCGTACCCTTATCATTTCAGCTCTGTCTGGGTCTTCTACGATTTTTGAAAAAATATTTTTTTAAATATTATTTCCATTTGGTTGATGTCTTTACCATTGAAGTGCACTTTAGACTGATTTCAGTTTTTGATCCCTGACTTTTTTTGTAAAAATGAATATTTATGATTTTTTTTATTCTGTGCTGCCTGTTAAACTAGGAGTCAGTATAGTCCTAAATTATACTTCCCGTTTTATTTATGCTTGTTTTATAACTATTATGTGTTTAGAAGTACTTGTATTGTGATTCCCTGGTCATAGCATTTCAAAGAATTTTCATTCATGTTCTTATAGATATGTCGGCAACACAGAAGTTCAACTCGGGACAGAGTCAGCCAAAGAACAAGAAAAAGAAGAAAAAATGAGTCAGAACTGATAAGCACGAAGATCATTTTGAAATATGGAAGACAGATATACCTATTTTGTTATGCATATTTTATATGCCATTGAGAGGATATTATTACATTTTCCTGTAATACAAAAAAACTTATAAAACAGAGAATACGACAGGAAGAATAATAAAAAAGATGGGGTTTGTTCAGTGCTTCTCATATTGGACAGGTGCACGTGTATTCATCATCATCTGTGGGCACCTGTCACCCTGAGATAGGGTACGGAGGAATGTAAAAAATTGCAGCATGATTTACTTAGCGTTGCCAATGGTTGCTCATTGTTACTGATGGATGGAACCCAGTGATAGCTCAGAAAGCATGAAGAAGATTTTTGCGTGGGATAAATGAACCCCCAAAGGATCGTTCACAAAATACTAGGACGCGATGATTAGCGTGTCTTGCGACAGGAATCTTTATAAAAGCGAATAAAATGCGAAGAAAATGTTAGTTAACATTTATTCATAGAGTTGGTGTTCTTTAACATAACAGAAATGTTTCATAGTTTATTAAGTGTTTTATAATTTCGACCAACAACTGTGGAGGTGGTGTTTTCATCGGCGATCATTTTATTTATTTATTTATTTATTTATTTATTTGACCTTTCTTGATCTGAGTGTGTGTGTCCGTTTGCCTTATTTTAGAGGAAGAGATACATTAAAAAGGAATACTGGTATCATAATGTTTTGGGGACAGAGTGTTCTTCGTGAGAAAAAGAAGTGATTACAACTTATGAATCTGGGCTACCTAATACTTGAAGGAAATTATTTCGTTTTTTTCGCCGTGGATATACACTATTGTAGTGCGCTCTTATTACATGTATTGTATTTGCATTGAAGGAGGCGGGCCATAGAAAAAATATCTCCGTTGCAAACATTCCGTCGCTTTTAACAAGACTGGAAGCCACAGGGATATGCTGATGATAGAGACGTGAGATTCATTGACCACAGGAACTCGTCTGGGCCCTCAAAATCCACTCCCTCTTTAAGATATCCCATCCTACACAGTAGAGGTTCTCAACTTTGCTCCATAAGTTCGCTTGGCAATATATATTAAATGCAGTAGGTGCTGCCTTTTGCCAATATGTTTGGATTTGTTCTATCCCTGCTTTCCCGTCGCTATATGATTGCTGACATTCCGACATGTACGCCCTTTCAAAAGAGATTCTTTTGAAGTGCAAATGCATTGTACAGTCCTGAATAGTTCACATTGCAGCGAACGATTTGTTATTTATTCTCAAACTGTAAGCCTATTGTGGTGATTTTTCGAAAAATCAATCTTGTTTAAACATCCCTTTTGGTAATGCAATATGTCGAGGTAACATCCTCAGATATAAAAAAATGAAACTGGACACGCCGTTTAGCTAGAGACTAATCAAATTTAAAAGAATTTTCAAGTACTTTATTTGACGATGATGCAACTTAAACCCCTATATTGGATCCTGGGTTGCAGTAAGACCCACTGAAGTTACACTCTAGCCACAGGGTCCGCTGGGAGTCCGTTCAACATTATCTTATCGCCAATATTTTGATTTTTTACGCCATATTAGAAGCCCCTGATATCAGAGGGCGCATTGAAGCACGCTATCATACACGCTATGTGTGTGTAGTCATCATGTGATATCTTGGGCATTCCTTTGTATTTGAAGTTTACAAAAATTGTAAAAGAATAGAAAAGAAAAAGATTTTACCTCCGCCAAGGAGGTTATGTTTTCACCCCTGTTTGTTTGTTCGTTTGTCTGTCTTTCTGTTTGTCATCAACATAACTCAGGTTATGGATGAATTTCGATGAAATTTTCAGGGTAGGTCAGAAATGGGTTTACTTAGACTGGATTTCCATACTTAAATCGATCCATCTGGATCGACCTAATTCCCTGGGGGTTCACGCTAAATTTCTATCTGCTCAAGAGGCTTAAATGTCTGTCATGCCTACCGAATCAGCTTGGTTAAAGATAATTACACCTTAATAGCATTACTAGGCGTGACAGACAAAAGCCGGTTGCGTCGATAGCAATTCATTGAGACTCCCCAGGGAGATAGATCGATCCAAATATATGTGAGAATGGCCCCTTAAAAGTGATAAGTTTTTGGTGGTGATCTGGATCAATGATCAATCAATAATCAATAATCATAAATAAAAAAAACTAAGTTATGGACCGATTTTGATGAAATTTTCAGGAACTGTCAGAAGTGGGCCAAGGAACAGATGATTAGTTTTTTGGTGGTGATCCGGTTCAATAATCAATCAATAATAAAAAAAAAATCATTATAGAATGAAAATTTAGGAGTGAAACGGCATTGGGTGGAGACTTTGGTTTTTCTATGACATGCCTTCGATATTACAGTAAAATTGTATTGAACTTCAATCGGTATTTTGTTCATTCTCCCCGATTTCGCTAGTGTGTGAACAGTGGCCTGCCTCGATCATACGATTTGATCAATATCTCGTTAACGGATTTTATATCTCTATGGGAGGTTAGAAAAAAGTAGGAGAGCTAGAACTTCCTTATGTACTGGGTATTCCATATTGAAATCGAAAGTGTTCAGCCGTGGAAATTTTGTTTGAGAATAACCGCCGTCAGAAAACTCCCCGTTTTTTTTTCAAAAATTCCAAGCAAACACGATTGAATGTTTACTTTATACCACTTAACATTTTGTAAATGCAAACAATTGCCCGATAATAAACAGGCCACATATCCATCCCCTGTGTTTACACACGTGCACCTTGTGACCTTATGTGTCAACAAACAACGAAACTGGGTATTTGTAACGGGAATACCCTTGGTCCAAAATTATATCTTCTGAAAGCTGACGTAATGGCAACATTACATATATAGCCTAATATTGGATCAAACAATTTTATTCGCCTAAAAACTTATGTATTGGTTGAGAGTTAATGAAAATCACGATCTAGACACAGCACGTATGGGTTTAACAGGCTTTTTACCACACTAGAGTGAGTAATTAGAATGAGTAAACAACGGAGAACCTTCGTGGAAATTCCATGACAAAACAGTATAAAAACGAAGACGGTTTTGTATGTTGGTTCTTCTAAACGGACAACCATCGCTGTTCACAGTCGGCATTCCTTGGTTCTTACGGTCATTATTTTAGGTAAGCTCTTGGGTAATTCCATCCGCATTGTTTTTTAATAATTTGGTGTCGTTATATAAGATGTAAAAGCCCTTTCAACAATTTTAAGCCTCAGTTAGTGGTAAGTATCGGGGTCAGTGTACGTGTAGTCTCAGGTAATGGAAAACTGACTTCGAATCGTTCCCATTTCTGAAATAACCCGAAGAAGTAGTATCCACTTTCATTTTAAGTTTATTAACAAGCAGCTTGCTCGAAGCATAGGCCTAATGGTAACAGATAAAGAAAAAATCACATTGCTTTCACTTTCAGAACGAAATGGGGGCGGAGCAGAGTAACGAAACCTACATGTCCACGTGGTCTGACGAGAGCGGTGACCAGTACTGGGCAGACTTCGAGTCCAAGCCGTTTTCAGCGGGCGCGTTTCGCCATGCTTTTAAGGGACACCTACACGGCAGGGGCCCTCGTGGCGGGGACCAGTGTGTAGTCAAAGTATTCAAGAAAGAATACGCAAAGCACATCACAGATTGGACTGTAGATGTGGCCACTTCGAAAAAAGCCCAGTCTCTGGCCACAAAGTTCAATGAGGCTGTTCCCTCCACAAGGCCACTAAAATTTATGACCCCGATGGTCGCCAAAATGGAGAAGAGGGCGGGGTTTAAGTTATTCTGGATATTCGACATTCCTGACGAAGATTCAGCCAAAATCGTTTTTGAGAACGAATACGTCTGCATGGAGCCTTTTTTGACTGGCACGTATCAGAAGTTTAACGCAAATAATGGTTGGGTCAACCCTAACATGAATGTCTCCCTAATCCCTGCTTTTTCTCACTGGACGTGGGCTCACAGTGGTGGGAAATACCTGGTCTGCGACATTCAAGGGGTTCGGGATGACGACGAGTATCTCCTGACGGACCCTGCGATTCATTCCGACGAGGCAGGAACCTACGGCAACGCTGATCTTGGGTCTGAGGGCGTCGAAGCGTTCTTTTCCACCCACAAATGCACGGAATTCTGCAAGAACCTCCACAAACCGCGTAATAATCGTCGCCCTCGCCGCATACGCCCCAGTCCCGGCACAACATATGGGTTTACATTGTAAATTAGCCAGATGTGCTATATGCAATACTGTATATAAAATGACTATCTTCAACACCAGGGGTGTGCTGGCAAAGGTCATCAATTTTAGCTTTTCACCTTGTACTCTCTGAACAGGGTTTCTGGGAAATGGAGACGTGTTAACTAGTGAAAATGATAATAAAAATGGACAACCCCTTAGACGTAGACGGCGAGACCTGTGGTTTATTCACTGTAGTAGGACATTGAAAACAATCGAGTGTCTTCATAATTTAACCTTTCTTACAGATACATGTATGTCATGGTTAATGTCCATAAAGGACCCCATCTATGATAATTGAGTAAGTTGCCGATGGTTAAAGCGTGGGAGTTGCAGGTTGTCTCTTGACACATGAGAATTTTTAGCCGGCGCCTGTACGCGTCGGGGAAAACGCCGAGTTACTGCTCATGACCTCACGAAGTTTTACTTTATTTTTTGTTTTCATCAAGTTTGCTCGACTGCACGAGGCATTTAGTTGTTGGGAATCTTAATGTACGTTAGTTGCCACTCGAAAATGACTCTTAAGGAATTGAGATGATGTTTTGCAATATATTCGTTAGTACTAGCTAGTAGACTTTCTTAGTTGAAATATAAAATGTGCTTAGTTGAAATTAAATGTGCATAATTACATTATTTGAGATCGAAATGTTGAAATAGATTCAGATAAGGATTTGTTGTAAATTGGCGGAGAAAAGCGAGCTAGATAAGTATTCAAATAGTTTTACCTCTTGCGTGAGCCATGTAACAATCACAAAGTATTATTTTTAATAAAAATAAAGAAAATTTCTCGTATTTGTTGCACCCAGATATGTCTTGTTGTCTTTCTTTGGTCCACGTGTCACTAATATAAGAAATCTAGCTTCTAATTTTAGAATCATTCGTAGTAAAGTAAGACGTAAAATATGTTTCTGAAGAAGAGCTGTTTTGTAAATATATTTGGATTCGAATGAGCTTTAAAATTTAGAAATGAGAATTTATTTGATTAAGATCGGTTTAGAACAAAATGATCCTTCTTCTTGGGCATGTGACAGGAAGGAGTGCCATAGATACTGAGTGCCGCGTTTTGGTAGTTTCTCGAACAAGAAATTAGATCGTGTGGTAAGTGATTTGAATTAAAATTAATCGACACATTAATTTCTCCCCATTTATTTGACTCTCATTAATTTAGAAGTAAAAAGCGTCAAAATGTAACTGATATAGATACCAAAATTGAATAAGATGTCTTACATGCAGAACAACACGATAGCAAACAAATGAAGCAAAATATGGATAATAATATTAATCTATGCTGCGGATGTGAGATATTTGGAATAGGATGCACAATTAAACTTTACGTCACCCCCTCCCAAATATGAAAGGTTTAGATAAAGATACATCTTCTGTCTGTTGATTTAGCATTTTAGGTACCATCTATTATATGTGTTAGTGAAGTATGAATTTCAAACAACCTACATTTATGAGGGCTTGAAAGTAGAATGCGTTAGCGGTGACAAGTGTCACAATACGTTCAGTCAGCCGTCGCAATCAGTTGGATCTGTTAAGTGCAAATAGGTCGGCAGCAGGTCACATGATCATTTTGTGTGGAAATTCCAAGATCAGCCAGACTGATGTTTCGAAATGATATAAATATAAATCTGACAAAAAATATTTGAATTGTGGTCGGGCGAATTTAAACCGGTGATTGCTGGCGAAAATTGACTTTATATATGTTTAATAATATGAATTTAGAATTTGAAGGTGAACAAATAATATAAAAAATGGAAGCGTTGTTTCTACTCGACCTTTATAGGGACTACATATTTTCAAGCGTTGCTTCGATTTTTTTAAATAAATGAAAACGAAATAAGTAAAACAACTGAAAACTACATACTGTTTAAAGACTTCCTTATACATGTTTATTCAGAAAAATAAAGAAATGGCTTATAAATGATACTTTGTTTATCAAACATAAAATAAATAAATTTAAGATAGCATGGAAATAGCACAAACGCACATTTATCAACACGACAAATTTACATATAAAACTTAGAGACTCTAAAGAAGTCACTTAAAGAGATTTGTTTTAAAATAGCCTTTGGCTGGAGGTCTGTCTTATGCTCATCTAGTACACAAAAATGAAAACGATTCGCATTTGAAAAAATGTGGGGAAATTACAAAATTATTATTTTAATTTTCTTTTAAATCTATGCTGGTGATTAAACGGGTGCGAAATCAACTGCCTGTGCATGCAGAACTGCATCTGAACCAAGAACTCAAACAAAATAACAATAATCAATTAATAAATAGTTTGATGAACTGCACAGAAGAGACATAAGAAATTGGGAGGTACTGATTTCGGTACCTTTAGATATTCTATTTGTATACATGTGGATTCTTAGAGACCATTCCCACAGATATTTAGATCGATCTATCCCCCTCGGGAGTCTCACTAGATTGCTGTCAGGTTAATCGGCTTAAATGTCTGTCCCGCCTACTAAAAGCTGTAAGGTGATAATTAACTTTAGTGCGCTCTCGGCTCCCAGAAGCTGACAGCAATTTAGCGTGAACCCCCAGGGAGTTAGGTCGATCCAGATGGATCGATCTAAATCTGTGGCAGCCCACTCTTAAAGATGTAAGGCTTTGGCGGTATTGTTTCTGTGCAGTCGATGTAGGGGAATCTGTCATCTTTCAAAAAACAATTTTAGCCTAAAGTTTAGCCTAAAATTTAAGACTCAAGATAAACCATAGCAGTTTCTTAAAATGAAATATTGTGCCCTTTTCGAACAAGTCGTACGCTGCTTGTGTTTCAGGGCAATATTAATTCTATTTAATTGATGCACTATTGATTCAACTAGAACTGAGGTAAGACTAGAAGGTTCAGATCCATTTTCGGGCTCAAATCATTTTGTGAAACCAATCCCTGACAGACGATTTCTGACAGTTTTTTGGAATAAAAAATAATAAAAATTGATCCTTATTTCATTTCATATTTCTGGAAAAATAGATTCCAAGCTAAAATAATCTTTCAATGGCACTGGGAATAGAAATGATGATTTAATAATGATTTCCTAAGAATGAAAAACAAAAATGATCAAGATCAGTAATAGATGAGAGATGATAGAAATTAAAACATAGCGTTTAAAACGCGTCTAGGGGTTAATATGAAGAGATCTTCAGGTACAAATGTAAAAAATGTTATATTTCAATCCTTGTGCGCGCTTGGACCGTTTCAATTCATCTTACATCTTAGGCGGTTAATATGGCATATTTTTCATTTTGTCATTTATAAATGGAAGAACTCGATATCAGAAATGAGAACTTTGCGAAAGTTTCAATTTAGTTCCCGACACGTTGGGGTCGTCTGCTGCCGGTAAACATTTAGTCAACCAATCGCTGCATTTCTTTACTGAGTGAGAGAAAACCTTCGGGTTGATCGGATCATCCTCCTCCGGGTTGTACTTGTGCGTATATTGATATCTTGAGTCATAACCAGCAGGGGTAATCTCAAAAGTCTTCTCTCGAAAATGATACCGCGGCACCGTGAAATTTCCAACACCAGGAATGGCGTGTTGCGTAAAAGACGGGCTATAATAATCGTCGTCAAATGCTTCTTGTCGCTCGCGCCTGCGCGTTGGCAAGACGGCAGCAAATTCATTATTGTAATAGTCGTCTGCCTCCTGCGAAAAATCAGGGCCACTGTCCGTCTTAACCTGTTGAGAGAGCTTTGAATCGCTGCCAATCTTTGGAAGTTTAGTTCTGGCTGATTTGTTACGGCTTTTATTGTTGTTGCCGTCATTGTATTCTTTCCAATGCACCACCTGTTTGGGAGCCCCTTGTGGTTTTTTGTGCTCGCGGCCATTGTAACCAAAAGAATTATTTCTTTGGCGAGAGGTGACGGGGGTTTCACCGGAGGTATTTGATTCAGTCTCACTTTTGTGACGTCGTTTACTCTGTATATTTTTCTGCACAAAGTCAACATTTGCGTAAGGTTGTTCCTTTGTCGCTCTCAGTGCATTGCCATCGCTATTGTTGTTTACACCAATGGTTTGTTCATCCGATACTGCAGGGTTCTCTCGTTGAGTCCCCACTTTGGCACTTTCGTTATAATATTGCCCCTTTTCAAAGCGTTCTAAACTATTTTGATTATTCTCATCGTCTCGATTGGTATTCTCTACCGTCTGTCGATCGGTATAATTCCTGTCATCTTTGTCATCAAGTTCCATCGCCTCCATTGTCTGTGTCATCGCGCACTGGGCTTCTACTGACAGCCGAGACCAAATGTTCTGTTTACGAGGAGGACAGCGTCTTTCCGAGGAGGGCGTTTTCTTCTTCCTTCTTCGGTGATACCTGGGAGGCTTTTCTGCCTGGCCGGTCGTAGCTTCTGGACATGAGTGCATGGACAGAAGCGTCCCCTCGCTTTCAGCCGATCCTAGGGATAAAAAGAGAAAAATAAAGTCTTGAAATATTTCAAACACGTCTATTAAATTAAAATGTAAATTTAAATATAGAAACTATTATTTTATCCATTGCGTGGGCAAAAAGTCATCATAGCTCTCTGCTTATCTGATGCTGAAGGCGACGGTATAGAATTTAATATGTATACATCTCTAACGTCACTTAAATTTCTCTCTCTCTCTC